GGGCGATGCCGGGGAGACCGGGGATGGCGAGGGCGATGCCGGGGCAGGGACAGCCGGGGACACCGGGGTGGGCACCGAAGGGGGTGCCGGGGGCGAACCGGCAGCAGCGGGCAGCACCCGGGGCCGGCAGGTGAGGCAGGGGGGCACGACGGGGGGGAGGGACACAGCCAGGGGAGGGCAGGTGCGGTAGGGATGGGGACAGGGGTGACTTCACCGGGGCGGGGTGACAGTGTCAGGGGCGGGGTGACAGTGCCAGGAGCAGGGTGACAGTGCCAGGGACATTGTGTAAGTGACAGTGCCCGCGCTGGCACTGCCACCCCTGCTGTGCCCACAGGAGCCCACTTGGCATCAGGACGAGGACGAGGAGCTGTGGCCTGAGTTTCCCCCGTGCTCGTCCCCAGAGGGGGCCACCAGCCCCACATCCCCCACGTCCCCTGTGTCCCCCACCTCCCCTGTGTCCCCCACCTCCCCTGTGTCCCCCACCTCCCCCACGTCCCCAGCATCCCCCACGTCCCCCACAGGTAAGAGCCGTGCAGGCAGTGACACCTGAGTGCCCTGGGGTCACCTCTGTACCACACAGAGTGTCCTTCACCCCCATGGGGTCCTCTGCAGGAACCCCATGTCCCCTCCCCATGGGGAAGGACCTTGAGCCCCAGGGGTGCCCCAGCATTTGGGTGCCCCCTCCCACCTCTCTGACCCCTCCTCTCTCCTTGCAGCTGACACCACCGATGGCACAGAGGGCGGCAAGAGGTGAGTGTCCCCACGGGTGGCACCCCAATACCCCACCCCACGGGTGGCACCCCACAGCCCCACGCTCAGGGCTGTACCCCCCCGTGAGTGGCACCCGCCGTGGTGCCTCAGCCCACCCGCGGGTCCCCCGTGTGCCCACAGGGGTGCTCCAGCGGGGGGGCCGCGGGGCCGGGCACCCCCTGGTTCAGCGGGGCAGAGACCGAGGCTGGAAGGGGCCGGGGGGAGGCCACGTGTGGGGTCCCGGGCATATGGACGCAGTGCCATCCTGGAAAAGTTTGGAGGGTGAGGAGGGCCTGGCCCCACGGGGGGTGCGGGGGGGGACATGGGAAAATGGGGGGCCATTGGGGGACTGGAGGGTAGGGGGGAACAGGGGGCTGTGGGACGGTAGGGTGAGGGGGTGCATGGAGCAGTGGTGGTATTTGGGGACCACAGGGCGATGGAAGGTAGGGGGGGATTGGGGGACAATGGAGGGGGGGATGGGACAGTGGGGGTATTGGGGGACAGTGGGGAGGCATGGGACAGGGAGGGTATTGGGGGACAAGGGGGGGCATGGGATGGAGGGGTATTGGGGGACAGTGAAGGGGCATGGGACAGGGAGAGTATTGGGGGGCTCAGGGCAATGGCACAGTGGGTTCATGGGGGATAAGGGGGTCTGTGGGACAGTGTGGGTATTGAGGGGGGCATGAGGAAATGGAGGGTAGGAAGGGAATGGGGGGTGCATAGGGCAGAGTGGATGTGGGACAGAGGGGCAATGTGGCCATGGGGGTCCATGGGGTGTTGGGGGCCCAGGGTCCTGGGGCAATGGGGTCATGGTGGGGCTGGGGGTCCCTACGGGGGGCAGGGGGGTGTGAGGGTCCCACGTCCCGGGTCCCCCCAGCGCCGCCACGGGGCCGGCCCCGCACCTGCGGCGGTCGGGCGGGGCCGCCACGGTCAAGACGATGCTGCTGGAGTGGTGCCGCGCCCGCACCCGCGGGTACCCGGTGAGCGCGGGCAGGGGGTGGCGGAGGGGGTGGCTGGGGAGGACCCGGGGGGGCGGCCTGACCCCCCCGCCCGCGCAGAACGTGGACGTGCAGAACTTCTCCGGAAGCTGGGGCAGCGGCCTGGCCTTCTGCGCGCTCCTGCACAGCTTCTTCCCCGACGCCTTCGACTTCGGTGCCCTCGAGCCCGACGCCCGCCGGCACAACTTCGCCCTGGCCTTCGCCACCGCCGAGTGCGTGAGCGCAGCCCCGGCCCTCCCCGGGTCCCCTCCGGCCCTTCCCGTGTCCCCCCCGGCCCCGGTGACGGGCGTGTCCCTCCCTGCAGGGAGCGGGCGGGCTGTGCCCCGCTGCTGGAGGTGGAGGACATGGTGCGGCTGCCGGTGCCCGACGCCAAGTGTGTGTACACGTACGTGCAGGAGCTGTACCGCTGCCTGGTGGCCAAGGGGCTCGTGAAGACCAAGAAGCGCTGAGGGGATCCCCCCACCCGTGCCACCCTCAACCTTGTCCCTCTGCCTTGTCCCCCAGCACTAAAGGCCATGGTGCCAGGCAGTGGTGGCCTCATATCTGGAGGGGGGGATGTGGGCACGGGGGCGCTGGCACTGAGTGTCTGGGGGGGCACAGCCCTGGCTCTGCCACCGGCAGGGTGACAGTCCCCCCAGGGCTGGCACACGGGGGGCAGCACCTCCCGGAGCCCCCCACCCTCCCCGTGAGGTATCACGGAGCCAGAGCAGGTGCTGGAGCAAATTTATTGCCTTATGTACGGGGGGGCAGCTCTTGTGGGGGGGCCAGGACCCCCTTCCCGGTGCCAGAGGGGACCCCAATGCCCAAGGTCCAGCGCCGAGGCAGGGGTGATGCCAGGGCCAGCCCTGGCTGGCACAGGGAAGGAGAGGGGAAGCCGGGGTCCCCCCGGGTGGGGGGTTCAGGGGTCGGGGGGGTCGGGGCGCGGCTCGGCGTGGAGCCGGGTGTGTTCCTGTGCCCGGCGCCGGAACTCCTCGGGGTGCTCCTGCAGCTCCCGGGCCAGGTCCGGCCGCAGCACCCGCTGGGGGTCGTGGCTGTCCAGCAGCAGCAGCAGGTCCTGCAGCACTGCGGGAACGGGGTGGGGGAAAGTCAGGGGGACACCCCCAGTGCTGCGCCCCCCGTCCCCTCGGTGCCCACCTTGGATGGCGCGGGTGGTGGGTGCCCAGTGCTCGTGGGTGGTGAGGGGCTGGCAGACGCGACCCTCGGGGTCCACGCCGGGATGGTAGATGGGGGTGCGGAGGGTGGCACGGGGGGGCTCCAGCGGGTGCCGCGGGGAGAAGGTCAGCTCGAAGCGGAAGGCACCCACGTTGTACGGGGGGGTGTTCTGCCGGGGTAGGGGGGGCACCTCAGCCCCTCAAGCCACAGCATCATCTGTCGGGGGGATCCCTGTCCAGCCCTGATATACCCAGTGCCTCCCGTGGAGAAACACCACCCCCCACCCCCCGGCAGCCCCTCAGGAGGGGAACCTCCCCCCAGTGTCCCCAGCCCAGGGCCCCAGGCTGTCCCCCAGTAGTGCCCCCAGAGGGACCCTCCCCAATTCTGCCCTGATAGGGACCCTCACTCAGTGTCCCCAGGAGACACCCCACCCCCCGGGTCCCAAGGGTTACCCCCAACACCCCCAACACCCCCACCCCCCTATGCCCTCATGGGCCCATTTCCCCTCCAGGGCCCCTGTGCCCCGTAGTTCCCCCATACCCCCCACGCCCAGGGGACCCCACACACACCCCCAGCCCCTCGCTGCCCAGGACTCCCCCACAGCCCCCGGTGCCCCTCGTCACGCACGGGCAGCAGGAGCCCTTCCCAGCGCCGCACGTTCCGGTCCAGCGGCCGCACGTCTCGGGCCCCCTCCCAGCCCCGCACCTCCTCCAGCTCCTGCGGGACGGGCGAGGGGTGGCTGGGGCCGTCCGGGACACGCCTCCAGGGACGGGGCTGCACCCCAAAACACCCTCCGCAGGCTCGTCCTGGGCGGGGCAGCACGTGGGACACACCTCGATGGGCGGGGATTCCCCATGGACCACGCCTTTGTGGGCGGTGGTTTCCATGGAATACGCCCTTATGGGCGGGGGGGTCTCCTTCATGGACGCGCCTCTTGGGTGCGGCCACTACAGACCACGCCCTGACGCGGAACGGTCCCCACCGGGGAAACGAAACCGGAGTGCGCAGGGAGGGTTTGGCACCCCCGGCACCGAAAACCCTCCACGCCGGTACTGCCTCCCCCGCAGCCCGGCACCGGGACCCCCTCACCGGCACTGACACCCCCCCAGCACCGCCTCTTCTGCACCCCGGCATCGGGACCCCCGCACCGGCACCGGGACCCCCAGCACCGCCTCTCCCGCACCCCGGTACCGGGACCCCCGCACCGGCACTGACACCCCCCCAGCACCGCCTCTCCTGCACCCCGGTACCGGGACCCCCGCACCGGCACTGACACCCCCTAGCCCCGCTTCTCCCGCACCGGCACTGACACCCCCAGCACCGCTTCTCCCTCACCGGCACTGACACTCCAGCACCGCTTCTCCCGCATCCCGGGACCGGGACCCCCGCACCGCCCGCTCCGGTGCGGACACAAGGACCCCCGCGGTCCGGGTTCCCCCGGACCCCACCTTGGCGATCCTCACGGCCATGGTGATCGGTACCCGGTGCCACGGGGACGGGCTCCTCGGGATCACGCCCCGGGGCGGGCGGGACGAGATTCTCCGGCCGCACCCCCGGGACGAGCAGACGGGTCTGGGACGGCCGGGGACACCCGTCACCCGGGGCTCCCGGTGGCGGCGGGTGACAGGAGCGCCGCCCCCCCCGTCCAGCGGGTGCCTGACGGGGGCAGAGCGGGACGTGGGGCCGCATCCCGCCTCCTCGGCTGCCCCCAGAACCGCCCCGCCCGTCCCACCCCGGCTGCCCCCGCACTCCCGGCTGATTTACGGGAACCTCCTTAATCTTTAACCAGGCAGGGCCGGAGCCGGCCAGATCCCCCGGCGCCCGCTGGACACGCAGGGACCGACCCGCCGGGCACCCAGGTGGGCCCGGGGCGCTGCCTTCTCCCGACCCCCGGGGGGGCAGAATGGGGGCACCCCGGGGTGGATGGGGGCGGACGGGGTGGAGATACAGGTGGTGCAGGGAGTGGGGATGCAGGTACCGGGGTGGGGGTGCAGGGTGCCTGTCCTGCCCTTGACCTGTGCCCTCCCACCAGGATGCCCATCATGACACTCTGGCTGCCCCTGGCGTGGCTGGTGGCCACAGCCACGGCCACTGTCAGCCCGGTAAGTGTGCCCCAGGAACACAGGCTCCCTGTGCTCAGTGCCCCTCTGTCTCCCCTCATCTAAGCTGCCCACCCAGGTGCACCGTGCCCCCCTCACCCAGGTCCCTGTACCCAGGTGCCCACTCTGGAGGCCTCTCCCAGCGGAGCGAAGCTGCTCACACAGCCCCTGACACCGCCAGTGCCCCCCCATCCTGCCACGGCCCCCCCGCAGGACGTGGGGGCACCTGTCCCACCTTTCCCCACCCCCCATGCCCACCCCGAGGATCTGCCTGGCTGGGATGCCCCTCACGGGACCACGGATGCCCCCAGCCCCACAGAACCCGAGGGAGCCCCTGAGGAGCTGGGAACCACAGCCTATGGGACCACGGCTGTGCCCACACCTGGCACCACTCAGGGACCCCCAGGCACCACCACCCCGCCCTGCCCCGGGGACGAGGAGCCGGCCGAGGCGTGCGGGGAGCCCACGGGGGAGCAGCGGGCGGCCGTGGCCGAGGCGCTGGGCACCTTCACCCTCCACTTCTACCAGCACATGGCCGAGGCCGCCCGGCCCGACGCCAACCTGCTCTTCTCCCCCATCAACGTCGCCACGGGGCTCTCGCACCTGCTGCTGGGTGAGGGGCCGCCCGCGAGCACCGGCGCTGCTGTGGGCACCGCCTGTGTCCCCCGGGGCTGTCCCACCCGGGGCACCTCACCCAGCTTCCCCTGTGCCCGCAGGCGCCCGCGGCGAGACCCGCGAGCGGCTGGGCGCCCTCCTGGCATACCCGCCGGGGCTGGGCTGCGTGCACGGCGCCCTGCAGCAGCTGGCCGGCTCGCCCGGCCTCTTCTCGGCCGCCCAGATCTTCCATCACCCAGGTGAGGCGGGCGCCGGGTGCCGGCGGGGCGCTGCCGCCGGGTGGGCGCAGGGTTGACGCCGACCGTGCCTGCCACGCAGAGCTGCGCCTCCGGCCCCGCTTCCTCAACGACTCCCTGCGCTTCTACGGCGCCCGCCCGCGCGCCCTGAGCGGCAACGAGAGCCTGGACCTGCAGAGCATCAACGCCTGGGTGCGGGAGGCCAGCGAGGGGCTGCTGCCCGCCCTGCTGCCCGCGCTGCCCCCGCAGCCCCGCCTGCTGCTGCTCGGCGCCGTCCACCTTCGCGGTACGGCCCCACCGCCGCGCCCGCCCGCGCCCACCTGGGACGCACCGGGGATCGGGCGCGCGGCCGAGGCCGCCCCGCGCAGCCCCCCCGGTGTCCCCCGCCCCTCAGCCCCGGTGCCGTGTCCCCGCAGCCGCCTGGCGCACGCCCCTGGACCCCGAGCAGACGGTGCCGCTGCCCTTCCTGCGCCCCGGGCGCCCCCCGGTCGAGGTGCCCACCATGACCAGCACCAAGTACCCCGTGGCCTCGTTCACCGACTCCCGCCTGCAGGTCCAGGTACCCCCGCTGGGACAGGGGTGGGGGTCTAGGGGGTCACTGCCGGGCACTGTGAGGGCTGTGGGGTCACTGCTGGGCACTGGGAGGACTGTGGGGTCACTGCCCGGCCTGGGGGGCTGGTAGGTCACTGCTAGGGGTGGGTAACGGCATGATGTCACTCCAGCGGCTCTAGGGAGGGATGCCAGGCTGTGACATCATTCCTGTGGCACTCAGGGAGGATGCCAGGCTGATGTCAGTGCCCTGGCACTGAAATGGGCACCAGCCGTGACCTCACTCCCCCGGGGCTGGGGGAATGCCAGGCTAGGACCTCAATGGTGGCACTGGGGGGTGCCGGTCTGTGGGGTCCCGGGCGGTGGCCCTGAGTCAGGGGGCCGTCCCGCAGGTGGGGAGGCTGGAGCTGAGCGATGGGCTGAGCCTGGTGGTGCTGCTGCCGCGGGGGCCCCTGGGGGCGCTGGAGAACCTGGAGCGGTCACTGGACCCCCCCACCTTCCTGGCCCTGCTGCGGCGGGCGGCCCAGACGCCCCCTCGGGCCACCGCGCTGGCCCTGCCCCGGATGCACCTCGACCTCGCCCTGGACGTGGTGCCCCTGGTCCACGACATGGGTAAGGACACCTCACCACGAGGGCTGGGTGGGCTGAGGGTGACATTGCTCCCTGCAGGATGTCACGGGCTCCTCCCCTGCTGTTCCCTTTCCCCACTGTCCCCAATGTCCCCAGTGTCCCCAATGTACCTTTGGTTTCCCCTGGGTCCCCCCGTGTCCCCGTGCCCCTGGTGTCCCCCATGTCCCCAGTGCCCTGCTGTGCCCTGCTGTCCCCAGCACCCCTATATTATCCCCCATATTATCTCGGGTCCCCAGTGGCCCAAATATCCCCGTTCTCCCTGGCGTCCCCGGTGTGCCTCTGGGGTCTCCTCCATCCTCAGCGTCCCGGTGTCACCGCACCCCTGTGTCCCTGACCCCCGGTTTTCTCCGGGTCCCTCGTGCCCCCGGGTGCCTGCCTCCGGTGTCCCCTCCCGCCTCCGGTGTCCCCTCGCCGCCGTGTCCCGCGGGGGTGACCGTGAGCCCGTGTGCCGCAGACTTCGGGCTGTTCCTGGACGCGGAGCTGTGCGGGCTGGCGGAGGGCCCGGCCGCGGTGGACGAGGCGCGGCACCGGGCGGTGCTGGCGCTGGACGAGGCCGGCGTGGAGGCGGCGGCTGCCATGGCCACCTCGGTGGCGCGCTCGGCGCTGGTGCTGGAGGCGCTGCGCCCCTTCCTCTTCGTCCTCTGGCACGACGCCGGCGAGGTGCCCGTCTTCATGGGCCGCCTCAGCGACCCCCGGCCCTGACCCTGCCCCTCCCGTCCCCGCCCTCCCTCCTCTCACCCCTCCGTCCTTCCCTCCTGCCTCCTCCTCGCCCTCCTCCCTCCATCCCTGCCTTCTCCTCTCCCTCCGTCCCTCCCTCTCTCTCTCCCTTACCCCTTTCCTCTCTCTCTCCCTTACCCCTTTCCTCTCTCCCTCCCTCCATCCCTTGTCCCTCCTTCCACCCCTCCCTTCCTCCCTCCGCCCGTCCAACCACCGTCCAGCTCCATCCTTCCCTCTCCCTCCCTCCCTGCTTCCTCCCTCTCTCCCTCCAGTTCTCCCTCCCTCTTTCCCCCCTCCCCCCCCATCTCCCCGCTTTCCCCGTCCATCTCCCCACCCTTCCCCCGCCCCAGTTCCCCAGGGTACCAGAGGGTCCCTGCTCCTCCCGCGCCTCAGTTTCCCCACCAGCTCGGGGTCCCAATAAAGATTCCGAGCCCCTCACTGCTCCTGTGCGTGGGGAGGGGGAGCAGGAGAGGGGGGAGGGCACGCCGGGGCTCTCAGGGACCCCCACTCTGTGCCAGTGTGCCCGCGGGTCCCCGGCTGTGTGCCCGGTGTCACCCCAGGGTGAACCAGGGGTGGTGGCAGCACCGGGGGCAGGTGACACTCAGCGCCTTCCTAAAAAAAAAAGCCTTTATTGCCCTAGAAAAGCCCCGCAGCCCCCGCGGCTGGGGACGGGCACTGCGACCGGGGGGGCACGGGGAAGGTGCAAAGGAGGGGTTCACCCAGCGCCAGCCCCACAACGTGCCCCCACGTGCCCCCCAGTCCCAGCCGTGCCCCCGCGTCAGTCCCAGCCGTTCTCCTTCACCATGTGCGACATCTCGATGATGAACTTCCCCTCCTTGTACTTCTGGCTGCTCTCGAAAGCCTGTTCCTGGGGGAGGGGCGGTGGGGGGGCGGTGTCAGCCCCCCGCACCCCGATGGGGGTACCCGGGGTGCTGCCTTCCCCCAGGGCTCGGGGGTGTCCGCAGCGAAGGTTTGGGGTGGCCAGGGGGTGCCCATTTGGGCTACCCAGAAAAGGGTTTTGGGGTGTCTGGGGCAGCACCCACAGGGTGTGTTTGGAGTGCCCAGGAGTGTCTGGGGCAGGGGTTGGAGATCCCGAGCGGTGCCAGCGCAGGGGCACTCACGTATTTCCAGCCCAGCGTGGTCTTGCAGCTCTGGCAGAAGATGTCGGCCACCGAGTGCAGCCCCGTCAGCAGCAGGCGCTGCTCAGCCGGGCCACAGCCCACGTTCACCCTGCGCCGAGAGCGGGGTGTCCCACGGGCACGGCAGCCAGCCCAGGGACCCCCGGGGACCCCCCCCCCGCCCCGCCACCGTCCCCGGGGTCCGCCAGTACTCACACGGAGTTGAACAGGTAGGCACGGCCGTGGCTGCCCTGGAAGGACTGGGGGGACACGGCCAGAATCACTGGTCAGCCTCTCACCTCCCCCGGCCCCCCTCCCTCTACGTCCCCTGTGCCCCCACCCTGCTGCATTGCCACCCTGCTGCATTGCCACCCTGCCAGCCCCGGGGACACAGCGGGGGGACACCTGCCCCCCTGGGGACACTGAGGGGGAGACGGTCACCTCCACGGGAGCGCCACGGGGGACACCTGCCACCCCCAGGGCACCGTGTGGGGCGAGGCTTCCTGCCCTGGGGCAACAGTGGCCACCGTGGGAATGTCCTGGGGACACCAGACGGGGACACCTGCCACGCCAGGGGCAC